ACAGAATAATAGTCAATAATAGCAGCCACTGAGGCTGAGACTGTCTCCTGTCTGTAGTCACAGTAGAGTGGTAGACTAGTAATTGTGTCATAGTGAGTGACACTCACACAGACATGACTGACACTAATGTGTCACAGTGACAGTGTGTAGCAGTGACTCTGAGTGACGACAGTGACAGTCACAGTGAGTGTCAAAAAGTCAAGTATCTAAAGTAGTAAAGACTAAAGTGGACTAAACTAAAGTAAATAAAATTTAAAATAATTAAAATAATGGTATTAGTTTACGTGACTAGAAACGCTAAATCAGGTTTTTCTTATTATGTCTTATACTTATAAATATAAGTATAAAAAAGTAATTAAGTTATATTTTAAGATAATAATTTATTTTATTTAATTAAAATTAATATTATAAAACAAAAAATAACTACTAGATCTAGAACAATTTAGTAATTGTTTACCCGTGTTGCTTCATCCGATAAAGATAGATTTTCGCGAACAGTCAAAAGAATTTTTAGTTTATTTATTTTTTTCACAATTTTATTTTGTTTGTTACGACTCTTTAAAGTTTCAGACTGCGAATGCTGTGACTGTGAAAGCAAAACACTCGCCATTTTGTTATTTATATACAAAACTATAGATACGAATTCCGGCTAAGTGATATAGAATTTAGTAAATATACGATTGCTTTCAACCCAGAAGATTCTATATCTAGATCTAGATCAGTGCTTTTCAAACCTTTTTGAACAGGTATCACTCGTCGATATCCAGTAAACTGAAGTACTACTGTCAAAGAATCGAGTTTTTAAAATAATAACGTTACTCTAATCACTATAATGAAGACCTTAAAGCCAGACTCTATCCTGACTAGATATCTTGAAGTAACTGTTTAAGAAAACGAGCATAACTGGCGCTCGGTGCACGCCATTTTTTGGCACCCCCTCCCCCCCTTTTTTATTCTAGGAACAAAAATTATAAATACATTGCGCTCAAATAACAAGAATAACTATAGAGTGCATTACCTAGTTCAAAATATCTACAATATATAGGCCTATGATATAGATCTAGTCACAATCTAAAACTTCGCTTCTACAAAATGCTAAAGTTTCTCGTGTTAAAAAAAAGGACTTGCGGTAGCCTATAGAATCTACCAGTCGTGTTTTTTTTTTTAAAAGCCATTTGTGTTCTGACATCTGTCGTGTTTCAGATTCACTTTAACAGTTTTGTTAAGCGAAAAATTGATTAGCTATGACTTTTGTTTTAGCTAAGAGAATAAGATATAGCATGTCTTTAGGTAAGGTAGGCTATATAGATTATTTTTTTGCCAAGAGAATCACTTTTGAGATTTATTGAAATACATCATGTAGCCTACATGCCAAAATGCGTACTCAATTATACAAAATATAATGTATAATAAACTGTAGATTCGTGCTTCACCAACTTTTGCCAGTGGTGAAAACAATTTCGTTTGCGCCCCCCCCCCCCCTTTTTAGCAAGATTTGGTCTAGGGAAGCGCTGAAAGCATTCCGATTGGGATCCAGAACGGTTTAACTCGGTTATAAGGACAAAGAAAAGTAACATACAGACATAATTATTGCGTTTTTCTTTTAGAAGTATACCTAAAATGTACAATATATTTGGAATCCTAATTTACCTAGTTTATGTTCGTTAAAGCTGCTCCGTTTAGACTTTTTTAAAAATTTAATATTGAAACGTTCTCTTGTCCAATGTGTAAATTTTTTTTTTTATGTTTTGAATATTTTTTTCATATTTCAAGTTTATTACACCCTAGCCCAAACTTCCCTCAGGACAAGCGGGGATAGTGGAGGGTAGCGAGCTAGACAACCGATCATCTGTTCTGGACGCATATACCACACAACAAGGCAGAGAGAAACTTTCAGTTCGTTTAATTAATAGCAATAATCTTCAAACTTCACTTCAAAATCAATGTTGTGAACACATTCTCACGACGCTACACAAACATAAACAAGTACCAACTATTTCACCACACTCTGCAACGAATCTTTCAAGAAGAAACACATGGAGCTCATAAAACTTTGACAGAACTATTTCTGTTCAAAGCCATCAAAACTTTATGAAAAAGCAAATGGTTAGAATTTTGGCACAATGACCAAAAAAAAAAAAAGTCCAATTTCTACAGTATCATTTAATGTTGAATGCAAAATCTCACTCATTCTGTTCGATGTTAATGCTTACATATAGGATGCAATGACACACACAACAGTTGAATTGTACATTCGATTGTAGATTGTTCAGATAGATGAAAAGATCGAGACATCGATTCTTGAGTATCGAAGATCGTACGACTACAACTTGTCTCTGCTTGAGGCAGCTTACCACCAATAGTACGCGTACGCTAGTGCTATTAGAGCATGGAATGGGTTGCCTGAGCTAGCCAGGAAAACAGAATTTAGGTCATTGACTAAATGCATGACGGGTAAGACGTCATCATCTTGTTTGTTTTAAGTAAAGTCTGTATTATATAAGACTAGTTGACCGGCGGCGTAGCATACGCCGCTATTTTGTAGGAAAGGCCATAGGCCACAGCAACCTATATCCGACCGCAGTGGGCCCCACACTTTCATAGGACCCGCACTAATTCTATGTGTAAATTATTAAACCATTTTATAACTTATAACAGATTTCTCGGGGCCGCCTGATTTTCCAGGAGCTCTTGGAAATCTCCTGAAATAGCAAAATATATGAAAAAGTCATGAAAATCTCCGAAATTATTAAAAATCTTTTGAAAACTCATACAAATCTCATGAAATATATAGACAAAAATTTTCATTTTGGGGTGTCATTCAATATGGAAAACGCCTATCCTACGGGCGATAAATAAAAAAAACATTATGCATTAGCCGTAATTGTGTAATCTGGTGAAAGAAGCTTCTCGCGCCTCAAACCTCAAACTAATGAAGAATTACTTGAGGTCAACAATTCTCAAAGATAAATTTAAATATTTGGTAATTCTTGCTATTGAGAGTGAACTATGTAGGAAATAGAATTATTATGATATACTCTATGACTTTGCTACACGCAAGGTTCGTAAATTAATTCTGTACGTAGTTAAGAATGGATAAAATGCATAGACGAATTTACTTTCTAATACAAACTCTTTTTAAATTTCACTTATTGTTCGTTTCCCTATCCAAACTTGGCCCCGCGAAATCCTTTCGCATAGGGCCCCACAATGGTTAAGTACGGCCCTGCTATTTACATATATATATATATATAGTATAGTACATAGTAGATACTTAATCTCTTTCCATGACTTCTAAGTCACAATGGTTAAGTCCGGCGCTGCTGTTTTGTGCTTGTAAAATGTTTTACAATGTTTCGAATGTTCCGTCAGAGTTAAAGATAGTTTACTTTCTAGCCTACTCGACTTCAAACATAACTACATTGGCCTAGGGACACGCGTAGGCCGATTCATATTTTTGAAGTGGAGTCTGTATTTCATAAGATAAAATACCCCCCCCCCCCCCCGCGAGCTAGCTTGCAGTAAAGAAGGCTTCAGGAAACAATCTCGAGGAAAAATCATGAGTGAAGCCCCATATGTTGGGAGTGTCAACTATAATATTCCCTCCGTAGCTTAAACAATTGAGCTGGTGCCAAATGTAACACGAAGCGTTCCTTTGAATTTCACCAGCAAGGCCGAGAGAGGAATTGTGACTCATGGGTCACCCATGATCCCTTAATAAAGGCAAAGGCTGGTACTTGGTTGGTAGACCACAGAATCTCAATGTAGGCCTATAACCTACAAGCGCAACCTTATTTTGAATTGCTGTTCTTTCTACAGCGAATCCTCTATGAAATATAGTTACGTTGTTAGTTAATCACTTAGAATGGGAGAGGCTTGCAATATGGTCCAGGATCACAGGTGGACCACCTCGATAGTATGGAATGTACAGTGTTGCCGAAAACCAAATATTTAGTACGCAGCAGTGACTGCCCTTACTTAGTTTCATTTCAATGTTCATACATCAATGCACAGAGAACGAACATTAAAGTTAAAGTAATTTTGCGTTTTCGCACATTTTCTTCTAAACCTTGTTCGTTATTCATTTCTGTATGAAATATGCAATGTTTGTGTATTCTAATATAGGCCACTGGTCTCCATTAGATTCTTGACCAAAATCGATAGTGATTTATATCAGATCCCATTTGTATTATAGGCTAAGTTTCTGTATTTTCCCTTTTTGTATTGCCAGTAGTTGCTAACAGTGGTTTAGACAAAAAGTTGTTTGATTGCAGTAGAAAACTGAAATGCGGGGCTGAATCAAAGGGAAAATACTTTTAAAAAAACATGGGCTACAGCATTAAATAGGATAATGTTAAAAGAAAGCAAATTGGCAGAGCACAAGTATTATCAGATGCCGATGAAGCTGAAATAGTAAAAAAAAACATTTTTAGGAGGCAACATACTCTTTGGTGGTACAAAAAAAAAAAGACAAATGAAACTTGTAGATGATGTAGCTAAAAAGAACAGCATCTATCATGTCTTATTTTTGCAGTGAGATTGCAGCTATGCAGTCTTTTATATTAAGTTGCCTGTAGTTCCGCTAATGCTAAGAGCCCTTCCTGCTTAAAGATTTTCGGTGCCAGTTACATATATTGGCGAGTTAATATTAAGTTTCAGTACTAATAAGCTTTTTGAATATGAAGATCATGAGGATTACAGTAGTTCACATGATCCAGTGCAGACACAGCAATGGTCCAGCGGTGGTCAATTGAGGTTCTCTTTTTCCCCACCTACGTGTGTCTTTGGCAGTGAATTTTCTTTTGGTCTCAACTGTGTCATTTCAGTACTAGTTTATAATTATTGCTCTTTCAAACTTAGATGCAGTTATAAAGTATTTAGATCAGTGCAGTACATCCCTCATTGTAATGTGCTGGCTGAGAAGTTATGGAACAATCTCAGTATTCCTTAACTTAAAACCTTATCTATTCAACTCAAGAAAATATATTAACAAGCAAAACTATAATCTGCGGACATGTCAGTCCATGTATTCAATGATCAACATAGTCAACCGAGGTCAATTAGACCCTTAATTTGAAGCAAACATAAATACATGAAATCTGTGTGTACAGCAACAATGGTCATATTTAAGAGTTCACTTCCAGTAGATCCCACAGGACTGGAAGCAGTGCTTGCCACTAACACTAAGACTTTGAACTAGGACTGGATAGGATTTCAATTGCAGCAAGTGAAACGATCAACTCAACACCTTGGTCCATAAGTTGAACTGTTTTGAACCTGGAGAAATGACTCAATATAATTTGACCAGAAGGCAGATCTGTTTCAACAAAAGCCTGAGTTCTAATTCATAAGTCAACAATATCAAGAAAAAAAAAATTTGTCACTTTGTAATTTTACAGAACCAACTGAATGGCCAGAGTCTAATGTACATGATATCACACATTCACCCACACTAGATCTACAGATCAACATATGTTACTATCTAAAAATGTTTGAGAAATATATAAATCAATGTTTACAAAGGGGGGAAAAAAAAGGTTTTTAAAAAGCTGCACATTGCCATCCAACTAACAATCCTGTCAACAAGAGACTGCAGTCTGGAAACACCCAGATCAAACTGGTTTTATTTTTTCTGTTTTTTGGAACATGTGAGAAGAAGTTAAGGAAATTATACACTTTCAATCAGATGACTAACTTAAGTACTCAGAGGCAACATTTTCTATTTCTAGGCTCTAATTAGTAATATGATCCCTATTATACCAGCTCTATGAAGACTCCTCCATAGTAATGGAAATAAAAAGGAACACATTACGCTGGGCGGGTCACCTTGAAAGCATGTTAGAGAACAGAGGAGCAGCAAAGATTGTTCAAAAAACAAACAAAAAGCAGGCACCTCAAAGATAGGCCACAGTACAGTAGCTTGACGATGTAGAGGCAGATCTACAACAGCAGGATAGATCAGAATGGATAGATGTGCTATAGTAGGTCTGTAATGCCACCGGGATGGATGAACATAATGACTATTTTAAAGTTAAACTGCCACTATTACAAACTATTGAATTCAAACAAAGGAAAGGACCAACTGATTTTTATGTTTTTTTTTAAAGTGACTGGATTTTTTTTCCTACCTTTCCCAATTTAAATGTTTAATATACACACCTCACTCATGTAACTAGCAATGGAAAGATAACTACAAACTTTTTAAGACCAGAAAGTGTTTACCATGAAGACTAAATAATTAAGCCCCAGCTGACTACATAATCAAGTCTCAGTCCCTAGATCAAGGATATGATTTGTCTCTCTTTTCTTTCATCTTCAGTTTTGGAGATCCATCTGTTTCATTAAACTGTTCCTGGAGATAGAGAAAAGTTAAAACAAGTCAAAACTTAAAACATAGAGAGGTATAGAGAATTATTAAATAGATTCTCTAATACAAAGCAAATAAAAAAAAACAAACAAACAAGATAATTAAAGAAATGTGCACCCATATAAAGCAATAGAAGAACACTGCAAGTCAGACATGGTCATGCCTTATTACTGTCACACAAAAGCTAACACCTGAATTGTATTACCAGCTTCAGATAAGAAAGATACTATAAATTAAAAACACACGTTTAACATGGTTTTACAATAGATTGATGCTTACTTAATTTGTAGAAGATTTTGAATAATTACTTAATTATTTAGTCTTTATGGTAAACACTTTCTGGTCTTAAAAAGTTACTTGATTTCTAAATCAAAAGTGTATGCTATTGGTGGACTGTAAGTAATCTATGTACCATCATTGTGGTACTACTAATAGCACTGGATATACAATTAATTTAGTTACATTTTAATATTTTAAAAATGGTTTTGATGTATGTGTATAAAATAATTTGAAAACAAAAACTTTTAGAAGCATTAGGAACTGGTATTGCCCCCATAGATGTGAAGAATGGTCCTTAGTGAATAAAACAAAACCAAAAAATCACTTTTCTGTCCATAAATGTTCACTATCTCAGGGAACAGCACCAGGAAAAAAAAAAAAAGGAAGACAACATTAAAGAATGGACAGGCCTGCCAATGAAAGAGGTTCTATTCAAGGAAAAACAGGAATGGAGAAAGATGGTTGACCTATCTTGTGTGGTGCCCCAATAGTTCAACAGACTAAGGGGCAGGTGAAGGTGAAAAGCTTACCTTGCTCCTAGAGGAGTGGCTCTGTTGTTTAGATTTCTCTTTATAATCTCTCTCTGCATACATTTTGGAGGATCCATTGGCTTCCCCATTTTGTTTGCCTACATTTAGTGGAGAAAAAAGTTTGGAGCTTTGAGGCAGTGCCTTCATCTCAAAAACATTTGTACAGAATTGTGTAAAACAAGGAGTTCTAGAATGATTCTATCAATACATACGTGAAGCTAGATAATGATCCTCACTTTTTCTTCTTTTAGAAAGTTCTGGGTCATAGGTTTCAACGGAGTGTTCCTGAAAAGAATCACTGGAGTTGATATAATACATTTATAATCTCTACTAAACTAATTTGATACCACTTAACAATTATCCCAATGTGTCCTAGTCTACATTTTTATAGCATTTAAGAATAATACAATTCATAATCTTTTCTTAAAATCTACACCAAAATGTTTTTAATTGCTTATAATTTAATTTTGAATAGTTCCCCTTGGAAAACACAGATTTCTTATTTTCAATCATGTTTTTTCCCCAAAAAAAGGATTGTTTTTCAAGAGAGGGGGCTAAAAAAAAGGATCGATATTTTATAGTGACTTTTCATATGAAAATGACATGGGATAGTGAGCTCAAGACAATTAATTTATATGTTTTATATACATTATATATTAAGTTATGTTAAAATATGAGTAACTATCATTAAGAATAGTTTTAGTTCAATTGGGATCATAAAATATGGTCTAGATCTTAATAGACTTGGTAAGTCAGTAGGCTTTTATTTTTACATTCCATTATCCAAAGTAAAATTACATCTAGGTTTTATAAATATCAGTATTTATCTAAAAAAAAAAAAAAGGCATACAGTCCCATTTAATTCTTTACCAAGCTTAACATTTACTGATAACAAACAAACAAGTTGTTGAAATTCAATCATAACAGGGTAGTGAAATACATATGAGCAAAATGGATAATTGAGTTGAAACATGGAAAATAATTACGGAGAGAAAGAGTTTAAAAAATTTGTACACTAGAACACAAAAAAAATAAACATACCCTCTTTTTATCTTTACGATCTTTTTCCATTTCAAAAGACTCATCAGCTTCTTGACTTGTGGGACTCTGTCAAATAAAATAATAAGTAACCTGGGAATTAGAGCTCTATATCTGTTGCTAGTTACCAAACAGTGCTCTATCAAGTGGTATTTACTGTTAAGTGTCCACTGATTGGTGTAAATACCACAATGAGCTTTAACATAACCGTCTTTTACATTTCACAAAATAGTTGACCAAGTGCAAGCAATTTTTTTTTCTCATTTAAGGTAAAAAACACGAAGAGAAATTTTTTTAAGGGTAAATTAATGATTTTATCTAGGAAAAAAATGTTTTAAGTTAACTGCAGACCATCAGAGATTGATGATTTCAAAATGACAGCAATTTAAATTTGTTTTATGTAATTTGATAGTCTAAGCCATTATAAAGTCACACTTTGAACAACAAATATCCAGGTATATATTGAATATCACACAATCTAAGCCACCCCATCATTTATTTAAATTATGTTTAGCTTGGGCAGAAGATGCCTTATCAAAAAATTTTTTTAGAAGGAAGCAGACTAAAAGAGATGGGGCTGACTTAGTGTGTCTAGAGGTCACAAGGTCATTACCTTTCTGTGCTTGCTTCGTCCGTCCACTGGCGACTCCTGCAATCAAGAAGTAAGTTGCACAACATGTCAACATGACATGCAACGGTTGTTGTGGTGGTAAACAAGAAGATGGTGATGTGGGTGGCAGAGCATCTCATGTTTTGTTTTAGTGCCACAACCATGCCAGGTGAGCGTGCAATTCATCATGCCCTTATCCCCCCCCCCCCCCCCCATCCCAAAACCCAATGATTACATTGCAAAAAAAAGCATGCATATCAAAACAACATATGATCAGGGCATGATGAATTGAAGACAATTGAAACAGCTTTCATTGCAGCAAAAAAATTAAAGAAATAAAATTAAACAAATGTTTCTGATAATAGCAAGACACTAATTAGTGAAACATTTATTTGACTTTTGAGTTTAGCTTTTGCAATTGTAAGACCTAAGTAGAAAATCTATAAGAACTCTTGAAAATAAGATATGGTTTCAAAGAAAACCTTTTACCCTATGTGATTCACCTTCAATTTTGGGTTGAATGAAGGTGAACAGCACTATCTCTCATGATATTTAATATAAAAGTTTTATTTCTAGGCTATGTTGGTATCTTTCTTTATGTTACTGAATGAATATTATTTCAAGATCTTTTTTTTTAATGTGGATACATTCATTTCTTTCTTAACAATACATTTTACAAATAGGCCCACACATGTTTAGACTTGGGTCAGCTTTTACTTTCAAGATCAAATGTAAAAAAAAAAAAAGGTCAATGTGGGTCATGTTCTAATGGAAGTAAAACATTTTGGTAAAAGAAAAATGAAACAGGTTTAGGTCAATAAACAGAAAGAAAGTCTTGAAAAATACACTGGCATCCATCATTATCACTAAGATAATGGACATAAGTTACTTTTAGAATCAACATTCAAAGTGATAATGTGCAATATAGAGAAATAGAGAAACAGACAAAATCAATGCTGCATACAATCTACTGCTGGTTTGTTTATTCATAGACCAAAGTGTACAGTACACTCACAAAACAATGTGTACAGTACACTCACAAAACAATGTGTACAGTACACTCAAAACAAAGTGTACAGTACACTCACATGACAACGTGTACAGTACACTCACAACTGTTGCTATCAAGTTTGTTCTCCCACCTTCCTGTTAACATTTCATTTGTATCTTTACTAGCCAAGAAATGTAATCAGTCCCTCTCTATGGTCAACACTTTCTGATCTTAAAAAAGTTTCTAGTCATCTTTTCATTGCTAGTTCACTGAGACCACTGTATGGCCACCGACCATGGCTACGTTCCCACCCCACCCCCTTTTTTTTAGAACATGCTAAGTGCAGATAAAAGACAAACATATTCATTACATTTGCTGTTATTTACATAATACAAAATCTCCCACAGCTTTAGACAAATGTACAATCCCACTGGGGTGACAATAAGCAGCTACACGTCAAAACATCATCACAAACAAAACAAGCTGACAGGTAAACAGGGGACCAAGAATGCAATGCAGACAGGTTGAGATCTAGTTGCCCTTTTATACTGGAAGCTTTAGTGATATCTAATATATGGCATAGTGCAAAATTTACTCTCAGCATGGGCAAATTGAGTTGATGTCTACAGAAAACAGGTTATAACTCAAACATCACAAAGAAGCTTGTTTTAAATCTAATAACTATTTCCAATAGACCGCAATGCATTTGAAAGCATAAGCATAAGTATTGGAATTTAAAAATCGATACCCATGGAGAATTCCAAATGGTCACTGCCTCAGAATACATGTCAAATCACAGCTTTCATCAATGTTAATATTTCTTAGTGATATCTGC